TTTAAAATCCCTCCCTAAAAAGGTCATGTTTGCTAAAAGTGCCCGTCCGTCCCTCACCACTGTGCTGCCCTTTACCAAGATATTGGGATTTTTAATCAGTATAGCGACTCCATCGTTTCGATTAAAATTTGACCCACTCCATATTGAGGGTCCAGAGGTCCACATCTCTTCCCATTTCCTGTACTGAGTTAAAAAAGGCAAAGCACACTCTTGTAATAAAAACATATCTGAATTACATGATTTTAGAAAGGTAAAAATGCTCTGTGCTCGAGACGTGGACCTCACACTTCTCACATTGATAGTCGAGATTGTGAGGGCCATGAGCAGTATTAAATAGAAAGGCATGGAGCTTAAAACATACATTTTTAAAAGGTTACAATTTTAAACAAATAAAATCATATAATTCCCTGTGCCTCCTGCCTCTCCCCTCTCCCATGGGGACTGGGTTCAGGGGGGCAAGAGTTTGACACCTCCGGATCCACAGAGCTGAACTCTTGTGACCCTTTCGGTGTCGATGTTCTCAGCTTGAAATGCAGAAAGGAAACTTCATTGGGGGATTCTGAGGGCCACACGCGGTCCAGAACTTCCGGGGAGGAACTATCTGGCCAAAGTGTGGCCCTCTGCCTTTTCTCCACTGTTATACACAGAGGAGATCCCGCAGTTCTCTTCTGCACTTGAGCATTTGGGAGTGAAGATTCAACTTCACTCCCACTGGAGGGCATACTCACCTCCGAGACGGTATTGAGGGAGGAAACCGTTTCGTCCTCTCCATTTTCTATTTCTTTGCCTTTGTCTAGCCTGGGAGTGGTTTCCTCCCCCTGTTCCGTTTCCATTTGTGGCTCCGCCCCTGTGGCCGCCCCACTTCCTCTTTCCTGACCAATCCCTGAGGCTGGCTGGGAATTTGAAATTCCCGCCAAAACCTCAGGGATCACCTCCTCCTTCCTTTGTTCTTCCCTTTGATCTGTTTGTGGGGCGGCCATTTTGTTGCTTTTAAGTTTGTTGGCAAAACTTTTCGGGCAATCTCTGTAGAGATGGGATGACTCTCCACAAAGATTGCACTTTCTGCCATTGTGGCACTCTTCAAAGGTGTGCCCAATCTCTCTACACTTTCTGCAAATTATTTCCTGACATGCCTCGGCGAGATGTCCAAGTTTGCCACACTTACGACATAGCTTGGGCATCCCTTGGTAGTGAATGTAGCCTCTATTCTCCCCCAACACAATCATTGATGGTATTTGACCTAGGCCATGGTAGCTGTTGGGATCTGCCCATTGTTGTATGGGCACTCTCCACGCACAGCTCCAGATACCGTCTTCGTCTAATACCTTGACTGGTTGTCCGCGAATAGAGCAATATCTTGCCAACCACACAACAATGTCCTCTCCACTCACAGTTTCATTAAACATCCTGACAATCACAACTTTCAGTGAATTATCAGTCAGCTTTTCCACTGTGAACATGGAGAAATTGGCTTTGCATGTTTCAAACCGAGACCAGAAAGTATTCAGCAGATTAGCGGATGCAAAACTTACATCAAAACCCCGATTTTGGGGCAGAGTCAACAAACAGTTTATATCCATTGCTTTAAAACCTAGAGTCTGTTGGATGTACTTCCGTGAAAAATCCAATCTAGAACAAGTCAGGAGAGTACCATCCTCTTTTGGCTTGAAATTAAAACGCACGCTGTGGTGCCTCCTCACGCCGGCACGAGCAGCCGACATGTTGGAGGCACCACCAGCCCGCTGCGGCTAAAATTCAAACAATAAATACACAATAATAAATAAATTAAAACCTGCTTACCTTAAAAACCAGAGGATTCCTCGCAAAACGAGTCGTCAATAAAAAGCCGCTTGTCACTATACCTCCTGAAGGGTGTATGTCCCGTGTGACAAGCAACACACGAGACAAGTCCCACAAGAGGCGATCGCAGTCTCAACCGTCTGACAAGATACTTGATCTTAGCCAAAAGGCCGAGAAGCGATGACGCAGCGACGCCGAGGCGGGGGAGCCGGCAAAGGCCACGCCCACCTGGGCCGCGGCGAGAGGGTCTAAGGTCGCCGGCAGACAAGCTCAGTTCAGATTGGTTGACACCGAAAATGGATCACAACAGAGTGCACAGCACGACACTCTGGAGTGCAACCTGGGATTTTGGATCATCAACATTCCGCCCTAAAAGTGAGCGGGCAGACCAAAGCGTCCGTGGTAGAGACTTGAAACTCTGAGGGATGGTGGGACCGGCCCGGTACTACAACCTCACCAAGGCTCGCCCAGATCGGCCCCAAGGTGGCGCTGCAGGGATCAAAAGTACGAAATGGCTCGTAACTCCTCGACCATCGGTCGCAGACCCAAGTGTCTTACATCACCGGAATCCTTGGCTCGAGCCGAACAAGATGCATGCCTCGGATTGGGTGGTCGCACGGCGAGATTTTCGGGTATTTTGGATTTTCTGAAAAACCTACTTTTGCACACTAGTCCTAGGTTTTTTGCCCGATCTGACCCAAACCGGTGCAGAAAGATTCTCTGGAGTCTGACTGCAAACAGGGATTGGGAAACAGTTGGAAGTTCCATCCACGTTGGCGACGGTACGCCAAAACGTTGGGGTGGGCGAGGCGGGCTTTACTTAAATGGCTATAACTCTCCAACGGAATGAGACAATTGCACCCAATTCGGTACACCTGTGTACGGGCTCAGCCCGTGGTCACGTGAAGAGGAATGCGGCGACTGGCCACTTGGTGGCGCTGTAAACAGAAAAAAACACAACATGGGTGGCTGTATATCACGTGACGTTTCACACGTGCACAATGTTTTCATACCACATGATAGAACTCCTCATTCCGAACAACTTTGCCTCCAGGACAACTGCTGTGAACTAAGTCGTTCGTCAAATATTGGAGATTATTTGAAGAATTAAGGAGAAAAAAGAAAACCCCCCTCACACAGACCGGTCCTAGACTGTTTCGTATCTCCCGAGCAACCACTGCAGTTCAACTCTCTGGACTGCCTCTGGATATTGAAGAAGTGGAGAAAAAAACAAAAAAACAAAAGAACCTCAAGTGGAGCTTTAACAATCTGCCCTTTTAACCAGTGTTGTCCAGGGGAGAGTGCGAACGCAGTCCCCCACTACCATAAATTATGCAGTCGAGATTCCCACATTTGGGGAATTCGCAGGGGTCAGCACAACCCAGATGTTAAACTGACAGAGGAACAGGGGTTCCTTTTTGTCTTGTTTTTACACCACAATTCTACCCAGGCTAGTATAGCACATGATCACCTACAACACCCACTCACACTAGCTCCATTATCACCTTCTGCCACACAAGACCACTACATTTCTTTCATTGAACACTTTAGGAGGGTGCACCGTTCCCAGAAGTACTGCAATACCGGGTCGATGCGTGGAGTGGACGGAGCAAGCCCCTATTCCATCTCCCAGGACCAAAAATCAATTTAATATATGGTGCCCGGGTAGGGCACGTATCAGATATTAAACTGATAAGAACAGATTTTTTGATTTGAAATTTTTTTATTGTTCCATTTCATTCATATACACGTCATTTCATTGTTATGTTTTTTCCCAGCATGTTCACATGTTCATTTTGATTTCGAGCAACAGTAAAACAGTTGTATGTGTTTATCTAGAAGTAAATACGTAAAAACATGAATGAAGACAGTAAAAAAAGAATAGAATAAATAAACAGATAAAATTATAAAAACAGGCTTTTAAAAGCTCTCTCTTCCGTTGTGCAGGAGCGGGTATGTCCTTATAACCATTTCAAGACCTCCACTCAGCTCTTCAGAACCAGTCCCAGAGACCTAGCCCTTCTGGGCCCAGAGGAGATCCTCTTTAACCGTGGCTCTGCTGCTCCCCCTAGGGTGTTGGGGGCATCTGCGGGCAGTCAGGGCTCGTGGCTGTGGGGACCTTTTCCTGTGAAGCTCTGACCCCCACCTCCGAATGGCGACATGCGGTGTAACCCTGCAGCCTTGATTTGGCCAGCTGAATGATGGCATGGAGGGGCACCTGCATGCGCTTTCCTACCAGTAGGTTTCTGGAGGTCCAAATGGCGTCTTTTATGCAGAGGATGGTGAGCCAGAGCTTAGGTGTTGTTTTTGCTTGGATGTCCTCCTGGCTCACCCCTCCTCTCCCCATAGGATAGTCTGGGACCCCCCCTACTGGCCGGTACGGGAATTGCTGGGGGCCAGCTGTCGCCCACAGGTCCCTCACAGCACTGCACTCCCAGAGGACGTGCCTCACGGTCTCGGGCGCGCCACACCCGGCCCGTGGGCAGATGGGATCCTTGGACATGCCTCTGGAGTGCATCACGGCCCTGACCGGGAGGATCTCATGGGCGACCATCCAAGCCAGGTCCCGGTGTCGGTTCTGAAGAGCTGAGTGGGACACATTCCGCCAAACCTTTTGGGCTTCCCTTTGAGTTAGCCCGCGGACTGGACACACTTGTTCCCGCTCCTGCACAAGGGAGAGGATAGAGCGACAATTTGTTAAAACAGCGACACTTTCTTTTACCAAATTAAAATTCTTTAAAAACTTCTTTATGTGGGTGTATGCTGAAGTTTGGTCGAAGGCGACTGGCATTGTCAAATCTGTCTTTAATAGTTTGTGAGTTCTTAAAAAGGACCCCATCCAAAACCGGGCCATGGCTGCTGTTTTTTCTTGTTTGGATGGGGTGAGGGCATATTTCATGTGTTGTGCGGTATAAAAAGCTCCTAAAAACAAGTAGAGGTCCGGAACGCCTTTTCCTCCCTTTTGTGGTGCTTTCTTCATAGTGGTTCTTTTCAGTCTCTCCCATTTAGACCCCCAGATAAAATAGAACATGGCCCAGTCCAAGGATACAAGAAAGAATCTGGGGGGGAAGAAAACAGAGCACAACAGTAAAAACAATGGCAAAATCACAGCTTTTATGATTAAAACCTTTCCTTCCAACGTCAATCCCCAAAAACCCAATTTTTTCTTTGCTTTAAGCCTTGTTCACACTACATGATTTTAAAACGTCGGGCTGAACTGTGCAGTTCACACTACATGACTTTCTCTCTGTGAAATCAGGAGTGCTCAAGTTGTTGAGCCGTTCACACCAAACGACACATCGTGATTGATCTGCAACTGGAGCTGACGCACTACAGGATTTGACAACAACTCTGTCACCCAACGATTAAATCTCGTCTACAAACCACGTTTTGTCACGAAAAATCACGCGATAAAACGAACCGGAAATGACGCAAAACAGCACAGCACGCGCAACAATACCCAGCGAAGAAGACAAAGAATAAACACGACACACAAGTATGGAGGTTAGACAAAAGCTTGTGGTCCAAACTGTGTGTGCAATTATTTGCTCTGAGACAAAACACAAAAAAAGAAAAAATAAGAGAGTATGGGTGAAAGAGTGGATCCGTTTACGCGATCAGCAGGGATTGTCTGTGCTACAGAGAGAGTTGGAGGTGAGTACAGCATGTTTATATTGGAGATGTAGCTGCATGTTTATGTTCGGCTGACGGCCGCATTTTGTTAAAAAGTCAAAGTTTTGTGGGCTGTGATAAAAAGCCGTGTTTCTTGATTTATTTATCGTTGTAATAGAATAATGATAGGACAGGCTTCAGGGAGTTGCTGCGAATGACGGCGGAGGAGTTTGATTTTTTGCTGGATAGAGTCCAGCATCTTATAACAAAGCAGAACACCAAGATGAGACGTGCAATACCACCTAGAGAGCGTCTTTCTTTGACCCTGCGGTTCTTGGCAACAGGTTTGTATGATTTCGTTTTAAACGAACATTCCATGAATGTAGTGATAACATTTTTGTCTGTCTGGGTAACTTATGTATCTGAACTTTTTGGTGTCATGCAGGTGAAGCGTTCAAGTCCCTCAGATTCCAGTACAGGATGGGCACCAGCACCATCTCACAAATAGTGATGGAAACCTGTACAGCTCTGTACCAGGTTATGAAGGAGGATTTCTTGAAGGTAAGGAGTCATTACAAAATGCAAAGATATACATTTTTAAATAGAACACCAACAACGTCAACATTGTGGACATCGACAATATACAGTGGACTTTCCTTTTTCATACAAGTATTTTGATAAAACATAAGTAAATATATTTATGTCTACACATACTTGAATGTTTAATCTATAGTTTACCTTTATATACATATTTAAATGGATTAATGCTGCGTTCACATGCTATGGAAAATAGGATATTTTCCACTTGTGAACTGGTATTTACCAGTGTGTTGCGTTCAAGTGCTTTTGTTGTCATAATGTTGTGAAAAGATGGAGATCCAGACCTGTTATTTAGCTAAAACTATTTTAGATTGTTTAAGTCATCTGCAACAACAAGAACATGATTTATCAAAACTCAAAAGGTAAATAATATGCTGTATATTTTCTTGATCATATATATTTTTTACCATTCACGACTCTCGCCGGGCTCTCCGCCATTTTGTAATGGTCAAAGGTTATCTCATCTCGGCAACTCGTCCATCAAAATATTCTACGAGTTGCCCAGTGGAAAATACCACATGAGGGGGGGTTCATGTGCATTTTCCACGTCGGCTTTTGGTATTTACCATAATGACCATAGCTCATGAACGCAGCATAAGTTAGGAGTTTGACTCAAAGTATGACTATCCAATTTTGTTGTACATATAACTGTGTTCATGAATGCATATAATAATTCAGTCATTGACTTTTGGTGTTTCCTATTATTTTAGACTCCATCGACGGAGGGAGAGTGGCACCAAATAGCAATGGACTTTGAAAGGAAGTGGCAGTTTCCACATTGCCTTGGGGCACTGGATGGAAAACACATTTACATACAGCCTCCAAGAAAGAGTGGAAGTTTTTACCACAATTACAAGGGCAGGTTCTCTGTGCTTATGATGGCTGCAGTAGATGCGAACTACAAGTTCATCTACGCAAGTGTGGGTACCCAAGGTCGAGTTTCAGATGCCGGACTGTTTGCTCATTCTGACCTGCGCAAAGCAATGGACCAGGGAAGACTGCGCTTTCCCCCACCCGAGCCCTTGCCCAATTCAGACACAGTGATGCCCTACATGTTTGTGGGAGATGATGCATATCCCTTACGGCATGACCTAATGAAGCCATATCCATTCAGGCAGATGGAGCACAGTCAGAGGGTCTTTAACTATCGTTTGTCTAGGGCACGAAGGGTGGTAGAGAACGCATTTGGCATTCTTGCGAACCGGTTGAGAGTGTTTAGGTCGACCATATGCTTGGAGCCAGACAAGGTGGTGAAGATAACAATGGCTTCTCTGTGCATCCACAACTTCCTCTGCGAGCGCAGGTCAGAAGCATATGCCCCTCCAGCTTTTGCAGACTGGGAGACGGCTGACCACAACATGGTTGATGGGCAATGGAGGAATCATGGCATGGGTGCTTTCCAACCGATGGAGAACACGTCACATCGCAATTATACAGCAACAGCAAAAATGCAACGAAATCTGATGCGGGACTACTTTGTCTCACCGGCAGGAAGTGTTTCTTGGCAGGATCAACACATTTAAAAAGGAACTGCCATAGAGTTATCCCTGCAAACAGCAGTTTAAAGTAATTTTTGGACATTTTTTTATTATCTTTTGTGTGGTCAAAAGTACTGTATTAATAAAGAATATTGTTTTGATATGATTTTTTGTAGTGTTTTTATTCAGTTTTTTATTTCAATTGCATACAAATCCAACGGTGGAGGGGCCCGTTTCTACAAGGAGGTTCAACCAACTCTAAATTAACTTGAAATCTGAGTCGACTTATCCTGAGATGGGAAACTCTGAGTTTTCGGTTACAGAACAGCTGAAGTTTGTTCAGTCTACTCTAAGTTGATTGACTCTGAGTTAAGTGCGTGCACTACAACTATAAAAAGCCATTATCAATGGAGCACAGATATTTTGAGTCACCATGGCAACAACGCCAGACAAAAAGAGGTCTTTATATTTCTCAGTAGCAGAACTGTTTTAGCTTGGAAGAAAATAGTTGCTGGAGTCAATGCTTAAGTTTACATTTTAATTCTTATTGTACAGTGTTGGGTGTAATTCATTACCAAGTAATCTAAATACTGTAATTCAATTAAAGTTATTATGCTTAATTCTTCTGTAATTTAAAGTACAATCTGATGTAATTGCATTAAATACTGCATAGACTTGAACAATTCTGCTTAAAACAAGTGAATTTAACAAAAGGAATATTTGTAATGTTCTCCCTCTACACACTCTGTTTAATTCAAGAATAATTCATGCAATTGTATATTGTTAATTTGAAAGCATTAAAAATACAGTTGATATGGGATTTAGTAATTATTAAATACAGAATATAAATATAGTAATTATTACGTTAGTCTAATTTTACTATTGAAGATGTAATTTCTAGTCAGTAATTAAAAAGAGAATATTAGAGGTGAAACTGAAGAACAGTATGTCATTCAACCTAGTTTAAATTTTCATCTAGGTGCAATCCTGCAGGCATTAAAAGAACGTGGCAGCAGTTGAAAATGAAATATAAAAACATAATTCAGTCAGGTAAAAGGCTTGAGCATATCAATTATATGGAGAGGAGATGGAGATGCAGAGGAGATGGAGTGAGATAACTCTGAATATACGTTACCTCTTTTTCAGAAACGGGCTTGACTTACCCTGCTTTCCCAGGTTTGACAAACCTCCTATTCTGAAATGGAAAACCCAGAGTTTCCCTCATTTCAGGGTTAACATACTCAGAGTTTTCACTTAACCTCCTTTCTGAAACAGGCCCCAGGTATGTAACAATTAAAGGCAATCTATATGTTGCAATAAGTGATTGTGATAATTGTCGATTAAGCACTGGCCATTTTTACTCAATATACATTAATCTAACACCTTTCTGAGGCCAGTTTCAGAAAGGAGGTTACGTGAAAACTATGAGTATGTTAACCCTGAAATTATGATACTTTGTGTATCGCCCAGCACTTAAAGGGCGGCTCTCTAAATAGGCAGCCTCTCGATGATTGTGTTTGTGCTCAGCAATACGTGTTCTAACAATAAGCTAAAATAAATATGTTAAATATATAGATATACACCATAACCCATAAAAGTGTACATACTGGTACATACAGGTCTTCCTGTTGTAAATATTTTTTTTTCATTTTATTGCTTTATTTTACTTTTTAGGTTTTTTAAATTAATTATATTATAATGGGAAGGATACTCTGTAATTCATTCAGCGACAATTTGAGCATTGAACAGTCAATTAATCACTTCACTTTAGAATATAAAAGCTTTCAGAAATGGACAGCCAGCCGGTTTTAGAATGTGTTTTTTTTATTTATAAAAAGGATGTTTACATTAAAGAAAAAAGGAACACAATACAAACAAGTTTAAATACCAAGTACAGCACTACTATAAAAAAAAAAAAAATAACAATATTTTTTCACCTAGTACAAATCCAGAATTGTTTACAGGTTCATTAGAATGTCTACTCATGGGCATGTTCGGGTTGTGTCTCCAAAAGTGGTCTATAATACCCAGGACCTGAGACATAATAAGGATGCTGGGAATGAGACTGGGCCCTTGATAAACCTGAATTGACAGGCTGATGTGGGGTAGGCTGTCCAGGTGATGACAATGACCCGCTTCTGTCATTCTCCTGGGCGTTGTATATCAAAATCATTATGCTTCTTTTAACTTGCGATAACAGAACAGGGTTTTGAATATCCCTCAATTCCAAAGCCACCTGGTTCCCAAAAGAAGTTAATGTATCCCGAGGTGGATGTGAGTCCACTTGAGCAACCATATGTTTTAACAAATCCAGCTTCTGCAGCTCTAAAACATCCTCGGACACCCTCTTTCTTTTTGGGGGATTGTTGCTTAAACGTGGCTGTTTACCGCTGTCACTTGAAGCAGTTGAAGCAGTTTCCTCCAGCAATGGAAAGGCTTCTTGATTTGACGGAATTGGGGTGGACGCAGTACATGGGGAGCTGTCTACAGATGGTGTATCAGGCCTTAGGTCTGAGAGGTCCATATCCTCTGCATCACTCTGCCCACTGAATGATGCACCAAGCTGGAACAGAGAAGATGGTGATAGGATTAATAAAGAGATACTTCATCAACATACACTTACATTACCCAGTTGAGCACAGTGTAAGATTTGAGTCAAGTGAGCAGAATAAATTATTACTGTAGCATGTGTAACACAGCGTGTGTAAAGTGAGAACTTTTTAAAAAAGAAACGAGGGATTAAAACAGTGTGAATAGCCAGTCGTTAGTGATTATAATGCAGACAAAATAAAATATTTTGAGCAATAACCATGCCGGAGAAGTGCGAATGTGCAGTATGCAGGGGAGACTGACCACTGAATGAGGCTCGTTTGCAACACAAAACAAAAGAGTCAATAGACTGAATAGATGCTAGACATTGACAATAAACACCAGTTTGCATTTTAGAGTGTAAAGCAAAATCAAGTCACATGACATGATCTTGAAAGAAACATTTAATTAAATGCAAAGTTTTAGACTTGTAATCTTCAAATTTTAAATATAACATGGTCAGACATGCTAATTTAGCTGCAGTGCATTTCTAGATTGATACAATGCCAACTTCAATCTTATTTTCATGAAGTTGTTTCATAAAAATAAATTTCTAACAACTTTACAACACTTTGAAGCTATTTATAATTCATTTTTTTTCATTATTGTCATGAAGAGGCGGGAGCGTGCAGATCCATGTGCAGTTTATATTTATTAAGAATAGTCAGACAGGCAGAAGTCAACGATCGGCATACAATATAGAGCAGGTAATCCAGAGCATAAACAATACCAGGCAGAGGTCAGGACAGGCGGCAACAATCAGAATCCAGGGATAACAGGCAAGGGTCGGGGCAGGCAGCAAACAGAGAATCAAAGTCCAGGAACAGTCGAGGGTCGATAACCAGAGAAACCAGATAATCACAGGGAAAACGCTCAGAAATGTTGCCAGGGCAAAACAAGACTTCGCCCTGATTGAGAGTCAGAGAGCAGCTTATATGGAGGGGTAAATGAGGAACACCTGTGTTGGTGATTAGACCTAGGTACGGGGCATTATGGGAAATGGAGTTCGTGTGAAACCTAGTCTTATCTGGAGTGCCCTCTGGTGGATAAATAGGGCACTCCAGCTGGTAACCGTTACATAGCCCCCCCTTTAAGGAGCGGATTCCAGACGCTCCTTACAATGTCCAGGAGAGATGTGGAGGACCAGGCCCGTGGAGCGGAAGAGGACCTGGAGACTGTGGCGGAGCTGGCTGTGGAGGCGACCAGGTCGGAGCAGTCGAAGACCAGAGCGGCGCTGTCGGACCCTCGGGCTTCCAAGGCGAAGCAAAATGTGGGCATGGCCAGGGCAGAGCAGGCTGTGGACGTGACCAGGGCGGAGTTGTGGGACCCTCGGGCGTCCACGGCGGTGAAGCTCCCTCAGGCGGCCACGGCGGTGAAGACCCCTCAGGCGGCCACGGCGGTGAAGACCCCTCAGGCGGCCACGGCGGTGAAGACCCCTCAGGCGGCCACGGCGGTGAAGACCCCTCAGGCGGCCACGGCGGTGAAGACCCCTCAGGCGGCCACGGCGGTGAAGACCCCTCAGGCGGCCACGGCGGTGAAGACCCCTCAGGTGGCCACGGCGGTGAAGACCCCTCAAGCGACCACGGCGGTGAAGACCCCTCAGGCGGCCACGGCGGAGCAGGACGAAATGAAGGCCATGTCTGTATCGCCTCCATGGCCCTCACAAGGTACCTACTGCCCCCCCCCAAAAAATACTTGGAGAAGTCCACAGGGAATTGAAGGGCACAGCTTGAACAGAGCTTGAAAGGCACAGGCAGAGCGAGGCGCAGAGGCGGGGCTGGTAGGGCGAGGCGCAGAGGCGGGGCCGGCAGGGCGAGGCGCAGAGGCGGGGCCGGCAGGGCGAGGAGTCCTGGTAAGCTCACCGAAGCCTGGCGAACTGAACGAGCCCTCCTCCTTCTGCGGCGGCGTTTCACTTGAACTGAAGATTCAATCACATGAACTGAAGACTCATGATGACTCACTTGAACTGGAGCTTCATCACTCGCAAGGCTTGAGTGAAGTGCAGGCTCGGCAGGGCTGACGGTCTCGGACTGGACGGTCTCTGGCTGGACGGTCACTGGCTGGACGGTCTCTGGCTGGACGGTCACTGGCTGGACGGTCTCTGGCTGGACGGTCTCTGGCTGGACGGTCTCTGGCTGGACGGTCTCTGGCTGAACGATCTCTGGGAACGCCCCCTCGGCCTTCTCCTCAAAGCCCACAGTAAAAGATGATCCGCTCAACAGAAGAGCCAGGTCAATGTATTGCTCTAAAGTCCCATGAGGATCATGCAAGGGCATGAACGAACTGAGCGGTTCAGATAGTCCTCCACGAAAAAAGATCATTAAGCATACCTCATCTAGGCAGGTCAGGTGAGCCAGCTCTAAAAAGTCAGCAACATAATTCTCAATGGAATGATCTCCTTGACGGAGACGCATAAGCTTGACTGCTGGATTCATGACGATGATGGCTGCTGGATCTTGTGTTGGCGAAGTCTTCTGTCATGAAGAGGCGGGAGCGTGCAGATCCATGTGCAGTTTATATTTATTAAGAATAGTCAGACAGGCAGAAGTCAACGATCGGCATACAATATAGAGCAGG